ACATATCGCTCTCAGAGGAACAGTTGGTACCAATCACTGTTTTCTGGAGGAGGATTTACCTGAACTCCAACAAACGTACAGAACCATCTTACAGACCATTGAATCCAGAGGACTGTTGTTTTTGCTCTTTGTAATTGTGTGACAATAAATGTTGCCGGTGTATTAAATGTGTGTGAGTTGCGGTAATGTTAAAAATTTAAATTAAATCAGTTAAGCTTTGTACTTTCAGCTAAAAGCGATCAATCTTGAGACAGAGGATATCAATCAATACTGTGAATAAAAAGCACAACAGAGAACACATTTATTAACTGGTATGCAAGGACTCTTTTCTTGCATAAGATACAAGCTGTTTTCTTGTGAGTCAGTCGTCAGTCAGGCGTCACAGCAGAGACACTCGTTGGACGCCCGACCTTTGACCTGAAGTTCAGAGAGACGAGAGGAAACAGCAGAGAGAAAGTTCACATTGAGACACACGTTCAGCCAGTTGTGAGAACAGAGACGAGGATCACGGAGCTTCACAGCTTCATGGATCAGATTCATACGATGAAGAGAAATATGAAAATAACAGAGATCCATTTGAAGATGGTTACATGATTTACAAAAACAATGTATTTTTGGATTGGACTGATTTTAATGTTCATTGAAAACAACAAACTAAAATACATGAACATGACAACAATATGTTCACAGAAATGCAAATTAAAAGTTGTTTGAAATGAAACTGAACTCGCCAGAGTTTAATAAACAAACAGAAAACCTCTTAATCAAATGAAAGACAACTTAATCAAGTTAAGAGTTAAATAATGTTTCCTGTTAAGTTAAAATCCAGCTGTTGTGTTGTGAGCAGCTGCAGAAACATTTTTACAGCTGATAAAGCAAAAGACAACAGACTAAAATAAAATAATAAACCCTTTCAAAACAAATATAATCAGAGAAATGAAGCAAATATTTTCTTTTTCTTATGAATTCTCAACACGTTTGACCTGTGACATGACAGAGAACGATTGATCAATATTGGACCTCAGCAGGCCAATGAAGGACAACATCTGGCTCCACATCAGCAGCTGGGACACCATGAAGATGGTGGTGGAGCTGATCTGCAGACGTGTTGCTCAAACTCCAGCAGCAGGTCTCATGTTTTCATAGTTCACTGTGTCATCTTCTGCATCATAACGCACCTGTGAGAAACAACACAAAGCCCACCTCTCTGACGTGCTCCACCCTCCATGTAGCATCCACCCTGCGGTTCCCCCTCATGTGGACACTGTGAGCTCAGTCGCTAAGTGTTAGCTCTGCTAGCATTGGTGGGCCGTTAGCACCGTTAGCTGCTAGAAGCTCTAAAGCGACTCGTGTTGGAGTGAAGAAATACTGCAGATAAGAACGTCATGAAGTGATGAAGCGTTTCATTGTTAACTTGTTAAAGACTCACAGCGTTTTCTTCCGTCTGTGTTTTCCTCTCTGGAGACAAAAGAAAGAGTCGCTTTAGTTTCACCAGCAACAGACGTCTCTCATCAAAATGTCTTCAGCTTCTTCACCTTTGATTCTAATCCACATGTTGACGACTACAAGTATTATTATGAGTGCTGCTAATCCAACGGACACAGAGACGAGCCTCCACCCGCCTGCAACGACATCACACACATATTTATGTGCATTTAGTAGACTTAAATATCTACTTTATTCATATTTAGTTACATAAAAAACTTGTTTGTTTGGTAAAACTCACCAGAAAAGCTCTAAAAAGACATTTATGAACATTCAAGTCTTAAACTACAGAGAAAATGTATTTTTTGTCTCAAAGAATTTAAATAAAAAAAGACCACTGAAAACAAATGTATTAAATCATTAAATGTGAGAGGATGAAAATACTGAGAGGAAGAGAGATTCTACATGAAGACACAAACATGTAGAGTCTCTACTTTGTGGTTCTGCTGAAGCTTCTCTGATTGCTGAAGTTGTCGTTGTGTCTCCTGCTTTTGTGTCCTCAGTGGTTGTTGTTGTTGTTGTGTCTTCACCTGAACAAATGAAAACAACACAACTAAATAAATGAAACTTACAATTCACTAAAAACAGAATTGAAGTGACTTCAGAATATTCTCACCTGTTTTATCACCTGAGGGAGAAAACTGCATCACTTTGTCTCCATCGGTCACTTCACACTTCAATGAAGTGAAGCTTGATGTGTAAAAGAAGTGAGAAGTCTTAAAGGACAGAGAGGCGGAGCAGAGAGACGGTGATGTCTTCACTTCTTTGTCTTTGTCCACATCTTGACCACCATTCATCCACTTCACTGTGTGTTTACATCCTTCATTCGTCCACACAGAGCATCTTAACGTCACCTCGTCTCTGTTCGTCTCTTCAGTCACTGGTGGAGACGGAGACATTATGAGAGAAAGAAGAGGAACTTAAATACTAAAATCATTATTATTAGAATGTTTAATATTTATCTGATACGACAGTTTATAAACATTATGATGTAAATACTCACTGGAAACAACAGACAGATAAACCTCAGCATATTTATGTCGTCGTCCTGGTCTGAACTGCCTGCAGAGATAACGACCAACATCTCCACGTGTGACCTTCTTCATAACCAGAGAACAGTTCTGTGAAACACTCAGTCTGTCTGATTCAGCTTTGGCTTCATCATCAATCTGCCCTTTTGTAACCAGATAAACTGTTGATCTGTTTCCTAAACAATAGAAGTACCACTCAGTAGAGTCACAGTTGTTCTGGTCCTCAGTCACACTGTTACAAGGCAAAGTGACTTCATCTCCATCTCTGACAGTGAGACGTTGTTCTGTTGCTGCTTCTAAGAAGATGAGAGAGAAGTAAAAGGAACAAGGAGAAATAAAACATGACTTTTAGTGTCAGTGTGAAGATCATTTTAGACACAACAACAGTTTACAAATGTGCCTCATTGTTGGTTTCTAAGAGTTCATTAAACTCACAATTCACCTGGATGGAAACAAACAGACGACTTGTGCGTCGTCTTTAAATGAAGCTTTGCTCATAAATAACATGAATATATTAGTAAATGATCTTTCTAGTGTTTCTGTAGTCATACACACATTCTATGTGTTCTTACCTGTAAACTGAAGCATCAGAATCAGGAACAAAGAGGTTTGAATCCCTCTGAATTCAGCCATGGTTCCTCTCCGTCTCTCGTCTCTCTGCTTCTTCCGTCTTAAAGACAAAGGATGAATCTACTTCCTCTTGTTGATAAAGAGTCACTTCCTCGTCCCTCTCATCTCTCATACGTCACTTGTTGCTTGTTTTATGCCCTTAAGGCGAACATGAGCAGGTGTGAAGTTCACACTGACATCAAGCATCTGGATTTAACACCAGAGACAATTTAACCCTTTTGGGTTCAAACTGTTTCCAGAACTCTCAGAACTCAAAGTTTCACCTTTCTTCATTCGATGATCTGATCTGATGGAGCAACAAACAAACTGCACTAAGACGCCGAGTCTCAAGGTCAAGAGTCCTTTCCCATGATGCATCGGTGCCGCCGCCATACAAGCGGAGCATCAAGGGCCCATCGTGTTCAGTCCCAGAGTGAAACAGAAGAAGAAGAGTGAGGAAGTCAAAGGTGTGTGTACTGGATGACGACTGAACGCCTCTATATCAGAATCCGCCTCGACGTAACGACCCCATAGTGCCGTGGATCACATGTGAAATACTCATAATTATAATAACATTATAAAACGAGACACTGTCCCAGCAGGCGACCCAGTCGGGGCCTCTTGGGCCGGCCAGGAGTGCAGCGTGTCCCCCTGGTGCCCTGGTAGGATCTAGGTTTACCTGTGATATGGAGCCCGGTCAGGTGACCTGGGGCACAACACACAGTGCGGGTTGGTGAGGAGAGTTTAGGCTACGGGGGGGGTCATAAGCTCCAGGCCTCGGGGCCGGTGCCAGGGTCTGGTTCCCCGGGGTCGGCACTGACGGACCCACTACGCCTCCTGGCTTCAGCCTCTGGTCCTCCGCCTTAAATCAGCTGTGGGTGAAGGAGGGAAGAAGGAGACATCGGGTGTAGTTTGGACTCTGGGCCTCTGTCTTAAGAAGAGAAGCACGAGAGCGCCCCCCTGTGGACACCAGGAGGTGTTGTACCTCAGCAACGATACGAGACATGCAGGTAGATGAGAGAACACGCTTTTACTTTAAATCAGAAATAAATGTTTACCGACGGCTTTCTCCAAATAATATTCAGCCTTTTGGGAACAAAACAAATAACACAGTCAAACAACAGAAGATGCAGCCGTAATACTAATAATACTAATAGTACTACAGCAGCTCACGTGATCTGAAGGCGCCTTCCGGTCATATTGTAACAGACTGACATGTTCTGTGAGCGAAGTGACACATAAAGAGTTTGTGCTTAAAGGAATTATTTCCCCCTTACATTACTTTTACTTTTATACTTTAAGTAGTTTTGAAACCAGTACTTTTATACTTTTACTTAAGTAGAACGCTTGAGTTGATAGTTCAACTTCTACAGAAGTCTTTTTAAACCCGAGTATCTACACTTGTACTTGAGTAATGAATGTGAATACTTTTGACACCTCTGGTTACATCATCACATTTATGTTGTAGTTAATTTCCTCATCCTCAACTGTAGGAGGCGCCAGTGAGGCAGAATCACCCTGTTTGACAGCCCTTTGTCCTGATCGGGGTTAACAACAGTAATAATAATGCATACTAGGTAAACATGTCCTGTTCACTTGTTGTACACGTGGTTGTTTGCTTGTGGGCAGTTTGTGCTTTAAAGCAGCTGAGAAGGACCTCTGGTGCCTCTCTGGAGACAAAGAGCAGAGACGCTGTTCTGTTGGACATTTTAATGAAGCTCACAATCGACTTTTCATTCAACCTTTGTTTGAAATTAAAAATGCTGAAAAAGAATAAAGCATAAAGCTCAAAATGGGGTTAAAACCACACAAGGAAAATCATTTTTATTCCAGTAAGCTGAAAACTTTGCTCAGTAAAACACGACACAATCACATTCAGCAAACTAAAACAGCAACATTCACTTAAATGGTGACAAAATAAATGACAAGAAGCCCTGAAGCCGTCATCGTGTGCATGCAGGGACGCAGTATAACGGATGCACGTGTCTCTAAGCGTCTGCTTTCCTGAACTCCCATAATGCATCACAGCAAACATCCACACGTCTTCATGACGCAGCCTGCGCTGATCCTAAACGTCTCCATCGGGCTACAAACAGTCATGTGACCTCTTATCTGGCTGGTTTGGTGACGGTGGCGTAGAGGTCGGCGGGGTCAGCTGCAGCGGAGGGACGGGGGGGCTTCAGGGTGGTGTAGGTCACTGCGCCACCTTCCTCCTCATCATCAGGATGAAGGCCGGCCTGCAGGGAGAGAGGAAGACTCATGAATCCAAACTCAACATGTAGAGTCCTCACTCTGGGGACGGACGTCCTCTTTGCTGAGGAGACGCTGGGACACGTTGGTCCAGCTCAGCTCACCTGGGCTCTGCCGGCGGTGTTCTTGGTGAAGCTGACGGAGGCGTAGGCCACGCCTCCTTCAGGGTCGTCCTGCAGAGAGGAGGAGACAAGATGGCTGCTCAGAGACCCGCTGACTCCCTCTTTCCTCCCTCAGTTCAACGTGACTCAGCTGCTGGTGGAGCTCATGATGGTTTAGAAGTTTAATTATTCATGTTTTAAACTCACCGCGTCGTCATGCGTCTTTGTTTTGTTCCCTGAAAAGACAAACAAAGAGGACGTGTTGAGCTCATCATTTAAAACGTGTTGTTCGTAGCAGTTCCATCTGTGGACGTCGTCACCTTTAGTTCTCCTCCATGCGACGACTCCCAGTGTGATCGCCACGAGAGCTGCACCCCCCACAGAGACGTAGACCAGGGACCACCACCAGGCTGAGACAGAGGAGGGACACAGTCACAGGGTGATGATCAATAGATGATCTCTGATAGATGATCAATAGATGATCTCTGATAGATGATCAATAGATGATCTCTGATAGATGATCAATAGATGATCTCTGATAGATGAACACAGCATGTTTCCCTGCACGTCTTTCCTAACTGTAAATCTAGTTCTCTTCTGCTCAGAACTCAAGTATCTGACGTCATGATTAAAGAACAATGTGGTTTAAGAGGTGAAATATGAACAAATCCTTTGAGTGATCGTCAACTGTTCCTAACTAGTATTCATTGAGCTCTGTGGAAAAGGTCACAGGGTCAAGGATAGATGGTTAGGATGGTTCATGAGGAGTTAGGAAAGGACAACCTCAGTGTTTAGTGAATCCGTCTCCACTGTCACTGAGCTACGTAATCAAGACGTGACGGGAGACGCTTGTTAGTGACGTCAGTCTGCAGCGGTGAAACTCTACTTTCTCTAAATATACAACCTTTTCATTTGTATGTGTAAGTGTTTCAACCAGTATGTATCGTGTTTTATACATGAGTGTGCATAGATTTACAGAGTGTGTGAGTGTGAGAGTGTCTCAGTAATTAAGTCATAAACGATCCATCATAGAATATTCTCACCTGTTTTATCACCTGAGGGAGAAAACTGCATCACTTTGTCTCCATCGGTCACTTCACACTTCAATGAAGTGAAGCTTGATGTGTAAAAGAAGTGAGAAGTCTTAAAGGACAGAGAGGCGGAGCAGAGAGACGGTGATGTCTTCACTTCTTTGTCTTTGTCCACATCTTGACCACCATTCATCCACTTCACTGTGTGTTTACATCGATCATACGTCCACACAGAGCAGTTTAACGTCACCTCGTCTCTGTTCATCTCTTCAGTCACTGGTGGAGACGGAAACATTATGAGAGAAAGAAGAGGAACTTAAGTACTGAAATTATTATTATTATTATGTTTCATATTAATCTAAATGTTTATAAACATTATGATGTAAATACTCACTGGAAACAACAGACAGATGAACCTTAGCATCTTCATATTGTCCTCCTGGTCTGAACTGTCTGCAGTCATAACGACCAACATCTCCATGTGTGACCTTCTTCATAACCAGAGAACAGTTCTGTGAAACACTCAGTCTGTCTGATTCAGCTTTGGCTTCTTCAATCTGCCCGTTTCTAACCAGAACTACTGCTTGTGTGCTTCTTAAATAAGTGAAGAGCCACTCAGTAGAGTCACAGTTGTTCTGGTCCTCAGTCACACTGTTACAAGGCAAAGTGACTTCATCTCCATCTCTGACAGTGAGACGTTGTCTTGTTGCTGCTTCTAAGAAGATGAGAGAAAAGTAAAAGGAACGAGGAGAAATAAAACATGACTTTTAGTGTCAGTGTGAAGATCATTTTAGACACAACAACAGTTTACAAATGTGCCTCATTGTTGGTTTCTAAGAGTTCATTAAACTCACGATTCACCTGGATGGAAACAAACAGACGACTTGTGTGTCGTCTTTAAATGAAGCTTTGCTCATAAATAACATGAATATATTAGTAAATGATCTTTCTAGTGTTTCTGTAGTCATACACACATTCTATGTGTTCTTACCTGTAAACTGAAGCATCAGAATCAGCAGCAAAGAGGTTTGAATCCCTCTGAATTCAGCCATGGTTCCTCTCCGTCTCTCGTCTCTCTGCTTCTTCCGTCTTAAAGACAAAGGATGAATCTACTTCCTCTTGTTGATAAAGAGTCACTTCCTCGTCCCTCTCATCTCTCATACGTCACTAAATGCTTAATTAAGTCAGTAATTTCCCATGATGCATTTGTGACGGCGACATTGTATTAGTAAATCGTTTCTGCATTCAATGATCTGATGCAGCAACAAACAAACTGCATAAAAACTCACTTCTTCTCACTTCTCACTTCTTCTCATACGTCATTAAATGCTTTATTTCCCATGATGCATTTGTGACGGCGACATACAAGCGAACCAACGAGGGCCATCGTGTTCAGTCCCAGAGTGAAAAAGAAGAAGAAGAAGACGGAGGAAGTCAAAGGTGTGAAAACTGCTGCTAAATATAAATGTTTGCTGCACAGCAGCTTGTTTTCTTAAGATGGTTTTACTCCGAAAAGAAACCCGATTTACGGTGATGTTTGACAGCATGACCACACAGGTCAAAGGTCAAAGGCTTTCTAAAGACATGGAAACTCTTTGTCTCCTGTTTGGACGATGGAGCTGATGTTCAGCTCCCACTTGAGGTGATGAAGGAGACCAGGAAACGGGAGGAATCCACAGTGGTGACGGGGGAGTCACACGGGGTGATGGGGGAGGGCGGGACTTCCTGAGATCCACAACCATCTCCACTGTCTTCACAGCGTTGAGCTCCAGGTTGTTCTGGCTGCACCACGACACCAGACCTGTAGGAGGACTCGTCCCCACCAGGGGACCATGGGTTCAGCTCCTTTGTCTTTCAAAGCGGCAGCAGAAGTCATTCAGCCGGTGAGCCGGGCGGAGGTCGCTCGTTGGGTGGGGGGCTTTGGCTTGTAGCTGGTGGTCCGTCTGAGGCCTCTCCAGACGTGTTGGACAGTCGTTAGCAGAGAGCTGCTGTTGGAGCCTCTCTGAGGACAGTCGCTTGGTGTCTCTGACCGTCTTGTCAAACCTGTGTTTTGACACTTTATACAAGTCCCCGTCCCCACTTCTCATCGCCTGAAGGAAATACAAAATGGAATCGAGCAGTTAGAAAAGAGAAAGAAGAGTAACTGTATCATTATAATCATTATTATTTTAATCTTAAGCAGTGGAGACGCTGAGCGTGGACTCAATGTCCTTCACACAGGAAGTCCGTCCTCTAAAGTCAGTGGGTTCCTCATTTCATCTTTGTGTGTTTTCCTGTGAACTGGTCGACGTGGCGCAGGGGTAGAGAGGGTGTGCAGGGAACTGCAAGGTTGGTGGTTTGAGCCCCGGCTGCTCCACGTTGAAGTGTCCCTGAGCAAGACACCTGACCCCAATTGCTCCCTGGGCAAAAATGTAAAAATCCATTTGTTAAAAATGTAATGTAAGTCGCTTTGGATGAAAGTCAGCTAAATGACCTGTAATGTAACTGAAATGTCTTGGTGAGAATGTGGGTAAGAAGTTTAAACCTCCAACTAACATCGACTTACATGAGAAACACGTTCAGGGTGTCGAACCCTCAAACTGTGGCAGGTACCAGGTTTTTGTTCTGAACCGGTTCGTCTTCAGCCGTAAACCTGAAGAAGTGGATCTTTAATCAGAGGCAGTGTGACGTCACCACTTCAGGGTCTAAAGAGAGACGCAGTGAGACGCCGATGATGCAACACTGTGTCTCTGCGATTGGACAAGAGACACCAGCTGACCAGAACAGCTGATTCCATCATCAACAGCACCAAACAGCGGCAGCTCAGAGGAGTGATGAGAAATAAACCACAGGCATCATGGAGACATCGTCTCACAGACTGAACGCACACTAAAGCTTCAACACGTTTGAATCAAACTGCATCAGAATCACTTCCTCTGTCCTCTGAGGGACAAACGTGATGCAAACCTCTTGGATCTTCAGATGAATCTCAAACTCACGGCTCCATTTTGCAACAAGACGACAATTTAGACTGAATATTCTATTCAGCTTTATTGTTGTTGCACAAAGTACAAATACTGAGATGATGAAGTGCAGTTTACACAGGGGAGCAGAGTGACGTACATATAACATTGTGTAATATAATAATGTACATATAACATTGTGTAATCGAATAATGCACATATAACATTGTGTAATAGAATAATGCACATATAACATTGTGTAATATAATAATGTACATATAACATTGTGTAATATAATAATGTACATATAACATTGTGTAATATGATAATGTACATATAACATTGTGTAATAGAATAATGCACATACAACATTGTGTAATAGAATAAAGCACATATAACATTGTGTAATAAAATAATGTATATATATATAACATTGTGTAATATAATAATGTACATATAACATTGTGTAATATAATAATGTACATATAACATTGTGTAATATGATAATGCACATATAACATTGTGTAATAGAATAATGCACATATAACATTGTGTAATATAATAATGTACATATAACATTGTGTAATATAATAATGTACATATAACATTGTGTAATATGATAATGTACATATAACATTGTGTAATAGAATAAAGCACATATAACATTGTGTAATAAAATAATGTATATATATAACATTGTGTAATATAATAATGTACATATAACATTGTGTAATATAATAAAGCACATATAACATTGTGTAATAGAATAATGCACATATAACATTGTGTAATAGAATAATGCACATATAACATTGTGTAATAGAATAAAGCACATATAACATTGTGTAATAGAATAATGCACATATAACATTGTGTAATAGAATAAAGCACATATAACATTGTGTAATAGAATAATGCACATACAACATTGTGTAATAGAATAAAGCACATATAACATTGTGTAATAGAATAAAGCACATATAGCATTGTGTAATGGAATAATGTACATATAAAATTGTGTAATAGAATAATGTACATATAACATTGTGTAATAGAATAAAGCACATATAACATTGTGTAATAAAATAATGTATATATATAACATTGTGTAATATAATAATGTACATATAACATTGTGTAATATAATAAAGCACATATAACATTGTGTAATAGAATAATGCACATATAACATTGTGTAATAGAATAATGCACATATAACATTGTGTAATAGAATAATGTACATATAACATTGTGTAATAGAATAATGTACATATAACATTGTGTAATAGAATAAAGCACATATAGAATTGTGTAATAGAATAAAGCACATATAGAATTGTGTAATAGAATAATGTACATATAACATTGTGTAATAGAATAATGTACATATAACATTGTGTAATAGAATAAAGCACATATAACATTGTGTAATAGAATAAAGCACATATAACATTGTGTAATAGAATAATGCACATATAGCATTGT